TGTTTTGAGTCACTTTTGACTATTGATGTATCTTCTTTGGAAAAATGTCTAATCAGGTCTTTTGTCCACTTTTATTTAATTTTTTGTTATTGAGTTTTATGAGTTCTTTATATTGGATGTTAATCCCTTATAATATATATGGCTTGCAAATACTTGTGCCCTTTCTGTAGGTTATCTTACCATTCGGCTGATCATTGTTTTGGTTGTACTGGAACTTTTTAATTAGATATAATCCCACTTGTTGATTTTTATTTTATTTCTTGCATTTTAGGTGCCATACCAAAAAGGTCATTGACAAAAGCCACTCCAAGGAATTTTTATTCTATATTTACTTCCAGGGATTTTATGGTTTTAGACTTTATATTTCTTAATTTAGTCTTAGTATTTGTAAGTTTTTAATAATTTTTCATTTCTTTTAGTTTGTCCATTTTGTTTGCAAATAGTTGTTCATAGTGCTCTTGTGATCCTTTGTATATCTTTATTGAACATTGTATTTTATTTACTATGCTATTATAGTTGTCTCTTTTTTCCCTTTACCTTCCTCCATCCTGCACCCCCTCTCCCACCAGCATTTCCCATCAGCCTTAGTTCATGTTCATGGTTTGTACATATAAGTTCTTTGACTTCTTCATTTCCCATACTATTTTGAACCTCCCCATCTATTTTGTGCCTACCAATTATACTTTTCAACCATTCTCCACTCCCCTCCTCCTCACTAATAACCCATTCATGTGATCTCCATTTCTGTGATTCTGTTCCCATTCTAATTGTTTGCTTAGTTTGTTTTTGTTTTTTTTTTAGGTTCAGTTGTTGATAGTTGTGAGTTTGTTTTCATTTTACTGTTCAAAGTTTTTATCTTTTTCTTAGATAAATTCCTTTAACATTTTAAATAAGAGGGTTTCACGATGATGAACTCCTTTACCTTTATCTTGTCTGGGAAGCACTTTACCTGCCCTTCCATTCTAAATGATGGCTTTGCTGAATAGAGTAATCTTGGGTCTAGGTCCTTGCCTTACATGAGTTTGAATACTTCTTTTCAGCCCCTTCTTGCCTGTAGGTTTCTTTTGAGAAATCACCTAGTAGTCCTATGGGAATTTCTTTGTAGGTAACTCCTTTTCTCTTGCTGCTTTTAAGATTATTTATCTTTAAACTTGGGTAATTTAATTATAATGTGTCTTAGTGTGTTCCTCTTTGGGTTCAATTTCTTTGGGACTCTGAGCTTCTTGGACTTCCTGGAAGTCTATTTCCTTCACCAGATTGGAAAAGTTTTGCTTCATTATTTTTTCAAATATATTTACAGTTTCTTGCTCCTCCTTTTCTCCTTCAGGCATCCCTATGATTCAGATGTTGGAACATTTAAAGATGTCCCTGAGGTTCCTAAGCCTCTCCACATTTTTTTGCATTCTTGTTTCTTTATTTTGTTCTGGTTGAATGTTTATTTCTTCCTTCTGTTCCAAATCTTTGATATGAGTCCTGGTTTCCTTCCCTTCACTGTTGGTTCCCTGTATATTTTTCTTTATTTCACTTTGCATAGCCTTTACTTCTTCTATTTTGCATCCATACTCAATCATTTCTGTGAGCATCCTGATTACCAGTATTTTGAACTGTGCATCTGATAGGTTGGCTGTCTCCTCATTGTTTAATTATTTTCCTGGAGTTTTAATCTGTTCTTTCATTTGGGCCATATTTCTTTCTTGGCACACCTGTTATGTTATAAGGGGAGGGGACTTAGGTACTTGTCCAGGCAGGGCAACCCACTTAGCTGTGGTATGGCATACTCTGGACGAATATTTCTTCTTTAACTCTTTGGTTGTTGGATTCATACAGTTCAATTTTCTGACAGTTCTGGTTATTTTCTGTTTTTGAATTTGTTGTTGTCCTTTTGGTTGTTCAAGGAAGCAAAACATATCTCTTTATGCCTCTGGCTTGGCTGGAAGTCTCCTTTAAGTGTGGTCCTTTGTATGTCTTTGTATATCAATTATGTCTTGGTTTTCATTTAAAATTTGTTGATATGGATTCTCTCTTTTTTTGCCTTGCTTAGTGTAGGTGAAATTTTGTTTGTCGGTTTTTTCAAAAAACTTCCTCTTGGTTTGGTTATCTTTTGTATTATTTTTCTGTTGTCTACTTCATTGTTTTCCTTTATGGTAACTTTGGGGGACAGCAGAGTAGAGGTTCTCATGAAGCAGTCCACAATGCTGGGGGCCAGGATATTACCCCTCAGTCTAGTTTCCCACTAGGAAACAGGCTCAGAGAAGACTTCTTGGTATGGTGCTTCACTGGCTGCTGAGGAGAAGTTTAGTTAATATGTAGCTATTCCTCTTACCCTCCTAACAAAGTCTGCTTGGTATCAGTGGTGTGGAGATGGTGCCTCAGCCTCACCCCCATGTTCTAGGATTCTCTTAATGGTGTCTTCTCCATGAATAGTTGGTAGTTTTTCTTCTTGTGAGAGAAAATGAAGTCAGGAATGACCTATGTCACCATTTTGGTACTGTCACCTCTTCTCACTTCAGTTTTTAAAAAATTTATAAGTGTGACATTGGTTCACAAAACCATACAAATTTCAAGTTTACAACTCAACAAAACATAAATTTGCATACTGCATTGTGTACTCATCACTCGCAGCAAATTCTGTTTCTGTCCCTACTTATACCCCATTCCTCACGTCCATCCATCTCCATCCCCCTTTCCCTCTGTCACCCCACTGTTGTCTGTGTCTGTGTGTTATAAGAAGATGAAGGGTAAAGCCAAAAAAAAGTTTGTATATATCATCTTCAGTTTTTCCTTCAGTTCTGAAAGATAGCCTTGCTAAATATAAAATCTGTGGTTAAAAGACTTTTTTTTTTATAGCACTTTGAGTCTGTTGTACTACTGCCCTCTGAGCTGAGAATTAAGCAGTTAATTTTACTGGAGTTCCCATTTCCATGATTAGTTTTTCTTTTCTTGTTCTTTTCAGTATTTTTTCTTTCTTTGTTTTTGGATTTCAGTAGTTATACTATGAGTTGTCTGGATATGGATTTTTGTGTTTATTCTATTTGTAATTTGTTGAGCATTTAGATAGGTACATTGTTTTCTTCAGATTTCAAAAATTTTTGGGCATTACTTCTAATATTTTTCTACCTTTTTCTCTTCTTTTTTTGTTACTCCCATTATTCACAAGTTGGTGACTTAATAATACTCATCTTATGAGTCTAGTCACTTGTACTCAATATTTTTCTCTGTCAGCATAATCTTTATCAATCTTTTCGAGATTCTTAATTCTTTTTTCTACCAACTAGAATCTGTTATTGAACTAGTTAGCAAAATTTAATTTCAATTATACTTTTTTAACTGCAGAATTTTTATTTAGTTCTTTTATTTTTATAATTTCTGTGCCTTTATTGATAATCTCTATTTGAAAGGACATTGTCATTATACCTCTCTTTAATTGAGTTTTACTTCCTTTAAAATATATATAATAGCTGCTTTCAAGTCTATCTGTTATGTCTGTCTCCTATGTCCTTTCAAAAGTAATTTCAAAGGCCAGCTCTTTTTATCTCCATAGATTACACTTTTTTTTAAAATTTTTCCCTGTCTCATAGATTTTTGTTGTTGTGTTGAAACCTGGATGTTTTAAATAATGCATTGTAATAAATCTGGATACTGATTTCCTCCCTGGGACTTGTTTTTTGTTTGTTAATTTATTTAATGTCTAGGTGGGGCTGTTTTAGTGAAATTTATTTCTCCTGCTTTGGGAAGCCTCTGATATTGCTCCTTCAAGAGCACACTATTGGCCGGGTTAAGCCACCTTTGGGATGCCAGTGATTGTAGCATGGTTCTCTTTGTTTGTCTCGCATTCCTGATTTCTGTTAAAGTCCTTTGCTGTCACAACTACGATTAGCCTCCACTAATTGCCAGTTGAATACTGTATTGTTTTCCATAATGTACTGAGAAATAAATTTTTCCATGGCCTTCTCCATTTAAAAAATATATTTAAAAATATTTTAGAGAATCTATTCCAGGTAAGAGAAAATCAGAGGTCTTGGGTTCTCTTCAGCCCTCATTTGTGGGGCAGAAGCTCTGACACAGTTGCAACAGGTGGAGCCCTGATCACCTCTGCCCTCAGCAAGTGATAAATAATTAAGAGAAGGTGGTAGCACAATGAGAGCAGAGAGCAAAACCGTACCAGGGTGTGCAACCTTTTGGTTTCTCTGGGCCACACCAGAAGAGAAATAGTTGTCTTGGGCCACACATTAAACACATTGTGACACATAATAACAAAAATACTCATAATGTTTAAAGTAAAGTTACAATTTTGTGTTGGGCCACATTCATAGTCATTCTGGGCTGCATGTGGTCCAAGGGCCATAGGTTGGTCACCTCTACACCATCTTCAGATCTTGAACTTTAACAAAGAAAACTAGGAGAAAAGGCAGCTAAGAAGAGCCCTTCCAGGGTCAGCAAAAACTTTTGTGAGGGGCCAAAAGTTTTATAACATTTAGCATTAAATATGACATTGATTTGTTCATTTCAAATTATGATTTTTTTGGCTATATTGGGTTAAATAAGCAAATTTAAAGTTTGTCTCATTTCTTTTAACCTTTTCATTTAGTGGAGCTAATAGAAAACTTAAAATTATTTTGTTGTTTACATTATATTCTGTTGAACACTGCTGCGCTACCACAGTTTTCCTAGATGAACACAAAAATTACTTCCTCACTGGACAGGAAAAATAAAGATATGTTACCTTATCTTTTTTTAGATAACTTAATCACATTCTTCCTGACATTACATTATAAAATGCAGAGTCAGATATAAGTATGGAAATGTTTGTGGATTTATATTGCTACAGATTTCTCAGCACTCATTTACCTCTGATGAATGTTGATGAACAAATCTTCATGCCTAAATAATTTTGTATGGTATTAATATGGCAACAAATACTACATTAAATTTATCACCATGTTTTCTTCCTCCTTTTTTTTGTCAAAATAATAAATGGCTACTTTCCCCTCTTTACTCAGCTCCCTGTTTCTGCATAAAAAACATCAAGGAAAATTTATTAGGAAACGTGAAACAAAATTGATTTGTGCACACAGAAGATATGATGATAAGGTTTTTAAGAATCTCATTTTTAAGCCTGGAACAAATATAACGGGAAAGCTTGCACGATGGAAACATGTAAGTATAATTTAAGATACTATTATTATAATTTATGTAACATTGATAAGTATTTTTTCAATCTTGTAGAAATATCTTTCATTGTTAATATTCTGCTTGTGATTTTCTTGATGTGAAAAAGGTATAATAATATGCAAATATAATTTTTGTGATCAATTAATTACTCTTACCACAAATATTTTATAATTCTTACTTCATATATATATTTCTCTTATTAATTATTGGAAGTAGATGTTAATAGCAATATAAAATTACTTCTTGGTAGTTGAAAACAAGGAAATATTTAGTTTATTAAAGGCTGATAATTCTACATATAGTACAATATTCATTTATTGTTTTATGCTAAATGATGTAGTGTTTTGAGGACACACTGGAAGTAAAAGAAACACATTTATTGAGTGCCTACTGTGTACTAGGCACTGAGCTAGGTATTTGGCATGTAATAGGTAATTTACTTTTTACAACATTGTAAGATAAGTGTTTTTGTACATGGGAAAACTAGGACTCAGAGGAGCTAGTTATCTCACCGAAGCCACATAGTTAAGTATCAATGCTAGGACTTGTCTCCAGGTCTTCTGACACAAGAGCTTGTGCTTTTTGTTTTGATTTTGACATTAGGTAATGGTAGAAAGAAGACATGTAGTACTATAATTAACAAGATTGAACTTTTTATAGTTTGTAAAGCACTGTTTGTGGTAAATAAACTCTATCATATGTGGAACTCTTCCTGAGTAGCCTGAGCTACAAATATTTCTGTTATATGAACATGATTAGAAGGGTTTACAAAAAGGTGCAGATAGTCATTAGTCCCTTTCAATGTAATTGAGGACACGTGTCCTAAATATGGCACAGAAATGTCCTCCAGTCCTTAAATGTCATATTATTCATTGAATAACAGCATAGGGCTAAAAGGCAAAGGTATCCTACTCAAAACTTTTCCCACGTGAGCACTCAGTGCCACTGTATTATTTTGTACCAGATGACAGGATGCTTTATAAAATGATAACATACATGTGAGGTGTCTTTTGGCCCTCTATGCAGATTATAAACTCACTGATTATGGTTATGTCACTTGCTTTTATATGCTTTATATAGAGAAGACTTTCACTGAATGTTATGTACTGTTAACCAATTTGAATATGCTAGTGACTAATTTGGATACACACACACATACACACATAAACACATTTAGAAATACTCATATAGATATGTGTATATATACATATGCACACATCCATATATTCATGTGTATGGTAGAGGTTATGTTATGGTAAGTGACTATTATGTGCATCAATAGGATTAAACTGCTCATATTGCAAAGTGATTTAATGTGATATCTATGCAGTTACATGGAATATATCATTGTATGAGGTCTGCCCAGAAAGAAGTCAGCCATATTCTATGCAAAATAGAGATATTTATTGAAGAATATACAAGATACAAGAAACATTGTACATAGGACAATGATGTCTTAGTCCCCTTCGAAGTAGGCATCTTGGGACCTCACATAGTTCTCCCAGTCGCCATTAGCTGCCCTGTCATATTTTCCTGAATTTCACTGATGGTCTGAAATCTTCCCTTTCGAAGGTGATTTTATTTTTGGAAAAAGCCAGAAATCACAGGGCACCAAATCTGGGCTATAGGTGGGCTGAGCCACCTGGGTGATTTGCTCTGGGTGATTGGCTTCACCAAAAAACTACACAAGACCCATGATACATGAATGGGTGTGTGTTGTTGTGATGAAGCTGCCAATCACCAGTTGCCCATAGCTGCAGCCATCTGAATCATCTAAGTTGTTAAATAGTTTTCCTGGAGGAGTGTTCAAGCTTAATGCAAAATTGGATGCAGATTTGTTGCTCTTCCCATTCAGTCATTTTGAGTGTGACGGCCACACGGTACACAAGCTCACTCAGTTGCATCTACCACCCCAACTGACTAGTACAGTGAAGTTGTCATTGTTCATGCATGCACATTCCAGTCCACTCTCCTTGGCTACTACTTTACATCAGTGTCACATGAACCATTTTTGTTACATTAACAGTAGCTGGACTTTTTCAGAACAGACTTCGTATATTGAGGTTTAGATGTATTTTGAGTGCTATGAATCTTTTGGTAAAATATATTTATTACAAGTTTTCCAAAGGTGTTTGATGTTGTTGATAAGTCTGCTAAGTATAACATTATTCATGTCATTTTTATCAAGAGCTGTTTATCCATATTATGTAAATATATGCATTGTCCTATAATTTTTCATTGCTTATAATTCTGATTTGTAGAATTTCACAGAAATTACCCTAGCTCAACTTCATAAAGTAATTGAAATGAATTTTAATTTGAAGTTTCATCTCTGAATACTCTATATGAAATTGTTGCTCCATCTTCTGTTGGCTTTATTTGTCTTCTGTTCAGCTTACTTAATTGATTTTTTCACTATTTTCACTACTGTTTACTTTTTTACTATTTTTACTAATCATATATCTGGTCTTTGTTACTCGGAGTTTGATTTATTAAAAACTACAGTGAGACAGTCGATGCCCTAGAATGCTTAAGAGAACCTAGCATACAAGAAACATTGGAAGAGTGAGGAATTAGGTAAAAGGGAGGAGGTGAGAAAATAGTGGTATTTCATATTAGATTTTATTTTTTTTAAGTTGCCCCTAGCAAAGTAATGAAAGGCACTGGTCAAGAATGGAATTCAAATTTCAGTATTTAGTAAAATTAATCAATTGCTGAATCTGCTTCTGTTTTGAAATGAAATATATTTTGTCCAAAGGGCTTAAAACATTCCATATTTCTGGAACGATCCTTAGGAGTGAGTTCAAGTTACATTCAGTCAGGAAATGTGCTGGAAAGCCCAGAGTTTATGGTACAAGAATAAGCTTTAAGTGAGATATAGGACCAAAAGTCAGGAGCCATGAAGAAGGAATCTGTTAAAAACTGAGTCAGAATAGAAGAAATTAAGGATTGGAAACAATTGCTAGGAACACTATTTGTGAATACTTTACAGTTGTTAGTTAGAGAATGCCTGTTCTTACAGAGTAGACCAACATAAATATAGAATTATGGTGGTAACCAGATCAAGTTTTTGTGAAACTTATATATTATTAAAATGAGTTTTAGGGAAATCTAAAGACTAAATCTATATTATTATTATTGATTTTGCTGGGACTCCCAATAATATTTGAAATATTCTTTGTCATACTCAATCCTTTTCCTCAAAGGGTAACAAGGAAAATATGTAGAAGGAGTAATAACAAATAAAGAAGTTACTAACTGACAGTTCGCCTTTCCATTGCAAAATTTTATTAATCAGGGCTAGACAATGATATATTCATTGTTATCTAACTTTTGTTGGCTTCAATCATGTCTTTTACTTACATATTCTATTGCAAACATGAATTTTAGTAGGTATATAGTCTGACAGAAAGTCATGCCCATTGGAGCCAAAAGGAAAGAGATTCAGAGGGGGAAATTAATTTGCCATGTATTTATCGCAGGGGCAGCTTAATTGTTCCCTTTCCTCATGCCTCACACACTCATTCTGATGCTGTCTTAAGGTGGTTTAGACGTGTTTTGTTAGGAAGGAGAGAAAGAGGTAAGACACAGTGATGGTGAGGAGCCATTACACCCTTTGTCTGGCCGTTTCTGGAGAGGGTGCATGCGTTCTTCCTTGTTAGCAACAAAATGAGGAAAGGGGTCAGTAGAGCAATCCAATGCAGTTTCCGTGGAAGGGGCCTCTTACTGGGCACCACTTCTAGCACATCGACATCCTGTACTCCTTTATGGCATTGTATAGTTTCTGGGAACAACACGTATACTCTAATATGGCAGTCATCTATACTAAAGTAAGATTTGCTTTAGAACTGCTGATTTGGTTAAATTCTAGAGCATTTTATTGATTTTTTTCCTTCCAAAGACTCATTTTTCTCATTATTAAAAACATGGCATTTTTGTACAACAGAATTGAACAAAAGTGTTCTCACAATCTTCCTGCAAACTCTTTCCATTAACTAATATTAAATACATTTTCCTGAAGATTTATAGATTTTTTAAAACCTGATGAACTGTTATCTTTTAATATATTATAATGATAATAAGGTTTCAAAAATATAATCTAACTTTTTAATTATACTACATATGCATGGAAATATATGAAAGCTGATATTATAAAGGTTCTTTAGGTGTCAGAATATTAAGTAATTATTCTGCTAGTTTTTATTTGTTTCTAATCAGAAATCATGTTTTATTTACATAGTACAACAGAAAAGATTTTTTATTTTGGATAAAAAGATTATACCCCCATTATTTATAATACCCATATAGAAATAATGCCTTCAGAACCTCTGTTTTGTGTCATAGTCCACAAAATCAATTCTTTTTTATAGTTCATAGGCATTATTTTTTCAAAGTACTTTCAGGTTTGTAACAAAGTTAGTGGAAAGTGCAGAATTTCCATATCCTCCCTGTCACTGCACATGTACAACCTGTCCTGCAGTGGTACACAGCCTGTCCTGTGGTGGTACAGTCTGTCCTGCAGTGGTATGCAGCCTGTCCTTCGGTGGTACACAGCCTGTCCTGCAGTGGTACAGTCTGTCCTGCAGTGGTACAGTCTGTCCTGCAGTGGTACGTAGCCTGTCCTGTGGTGGTACACAGTCTGTCCTGCAGTGGTACGTAGCCTGTCCTGTGGTGGTACACAGCCTGTCCTGCGGTGGTACACAGCCTGCCCTGCAGTGGTACATCTGTGGTAATTTGTGAGCCCAAATCAACACATCATTGTTTCCCAAAGTCCATAGTTTAAATTAGGGTTTACTCTTGGTGGTGTACATTCTATGGGTTCTGACAAATATATAATGATGTGTCTTCAGCATTAGAGAGTGTCATACAGGATATTTTTTTTGCCCTAAAAATCCTCTGTGCTCTGCATATTCATCCCTTCCTCCCTAAACCCTTAGCAACCAATAATCTTTTCAGTGTCCCCATAGTTTTGTCTTTTCCAGAAT